ATCTCCATGCAATGGTTTTTGAATGCTGAATTTAGTAGGTCTTCCTGTTGCTGATGTATTTCTGGCTAATTCTACATTCTCAATAGGAGTTTGCAAAAGGAATAATGCAGTCTCGCTTCCCATGGTAGTTTATGTAGCCATAGCTTTTGTAGTAAAAGTTTTATTCTAAGAGTGAGTGGTGTGATGAGTCCAGGGAGATCATATATTTTTCCAGCTGTTTGGAGGATAAAGTGTTTGGTACTTTTCTTTCTTCTCGAAATTTCAGTCAAAGAAGAAGTCTCTGTACTCTTGCATAGATTCATCCCAGCTCCACGCATAATTTCCTTTGCTTCCCTTGAAATTTTGAAGGCTTCTGATACATCATCTGCTGCTGTAACAGTATCAGCATACATACATGCATGTATCAAGAATTTGAAAGGTTATCGGGATACACATTTCTATACTTTTGGATGTGCAGCTTTATAGTTGCTGCCAACAAAAAGGGATTGGAATTAACACCAAAGAGTACAGGCTTAAATGTATACACATTTAACTTATCCTCGATATTCTGCAAAAGTGTACTACAGTCAAAAGTCGTTAATTCGGACACCCATAATTCGGAATAATCTATAATCCGGACATCAAAACTAAAAACTTTCTGCGCATGCGCCGCGTTGACACATGCGCAGAGGCGTTCACGCGTGCGCGTAAGACCTTTTACGACTGCGCATATGAGTGTGCGCAAGTGCAGAATACGTTTTCGCGCATGCATTTTATGTATAATGGACGTATAAGCTAAATAATTATCTATTTCAGTTAATGTTGATGATTGCGTTGTTCCTTAATTTTCGAATTGCATCCGGCTTATTATTTTTTGCAGACTGTAAGAGCAATTTTATAAAAGTAAGCTTAAACTTTCGATTATATCAAATAGAATTTCCGATATATATTTGTTAATATGTAAAGGATCTAAAGCGAAAGTATGTTTTGAAATCCGAAATCTGTTTATCAATTTCACGCTGCTCGGCGGCGGGCGCGTAATGAATTGGAAGTTGATTTGTCAGCACTATCCTTATCTTCAGCGCAGATGTTTTTATTTGGCTTATAATTCCTTACCAAATGTAGTATTTCATCTCGATATGCTTCGTCTTTGATGATTTAAAAACAAGTTCCTCGTCATTATAATTCGCTTCCGATAGCGAAGAAAAAGTGACAGAGGTTATTGAAAACAAAAAAATTTCGATTGACAAATTAGTCGGTGTTCCTGACACAGCAATTATAGGACTTGAACGGCGGCGGAACTTTGTAACTGAACAAGAAATTATGTCTGTTTAATAGAATTAAAGAGAAAGTATCATCACATGAAACGAAGCAAAACTTAAACAACTTACTTTGAAAGAAATGTTTAATAAAGTAAACAAATAAATATTAAGCTTTTTCTTTTTGCAAATTTTGATACCCTTTAGATCATAATTGTTCTTTATTTCATAAATTACGGTTTCATATTTTTAATTTTAGAATTTCTGCATGCCATCTTACGAGATTTAAACTGATGATCTATAATCCGGAAAAATCGATAATCCGGAATCGCCGAAGTCCCGACGAGTCCGGATTAACGACTTTTGACTGTAATATTCTTAACAAATAAAAATCTAACTGAATCTTGATCTTTCTCAGTTAAAACGATCTGTAAAAATGCCTTTGTCTTTTCGATATTTCCTAAGATTGCAACTCTGTTAAGCAACTCTGTTATCAGCAAGTGAAGTATATTTTGATTCAAATTAATACCAGGCCACAAACAATCATTTAGACAGACTACCTATTTCATGTGAGCTTGCATCAAATACAATACTTATTTTTGTTGTAATGCTTTCTTCTCTATAAAACGCCTAATGCGGCATATAAAAAACTAGCTTGTTTTCTGGTATCGTACCACCTAATATTCTTTCTATTATCTCTTGACTTAGGTACTCTTCTAAAGTTTCCCTGTATTTTTAAGTATAATGCATTATAATGCTGCATTTTTCTCATCAGAATGTTTATTCTTTTTTATTTTATTTATTTATTTATTTTTTTTTTTTTGAAACACCAAAATTGTCGCCTAAATGTTCTCAACTTTTCTTACAGGGCAGGCTAACAACATACCGACCATATTCAAGTTTTATTGAATATCTCTAATGTTTTATTTTCATCGTAAGAATTGGTATCATCTCTAATACCAATTGATTCCAAATTAAAAAACTTCAACTGTGTCTCGACATTATGATAAGTTAACTCACAGTGCATTAATTGTTTCTCATGTGGTAAATTTTCAGTGCTCCCATTCACTAAATACCCAAATGCTGAGTTCTGTAAAACTTAATATGTATTTTATACGTAAATTAGAGCCCACCAGCGGCCAAGCGGTAAAGTTGCTGAACACTGGTAGTTTGGTCCGAGGTTCAAATCCCGCGAACCGGCTGGCTGCATGGGTGTTTTCGTGGTTTTCTCCATGTGTAACGTGTGTACAAGCCAGTCTCCCTTAGAAAGTTCTCCACGAAGGCATCCCTCCCCTTAGGCAGATAGCCCTCGAGGCTTTGCCATAATCATACACACAAGAAAAGAACAATGATACATAAATTTGCCGAGATCTTATCAAATCGAGAAATATTTCAGTTCTAAGAAGTAGCTGAAGTTTACCTGATTAGTGAAAGTCTGGATCAGCTAGCGTAATTCTTTGTGGAATCGCAATATTACAGACATTAGTTTATCTAGAAGGCATCAAATGAGTAATTTTCGGAATTGCAAAAAATCTAGTTTACGACTGTATGTTTTTTCTCTATTTAAAATAACTAACTGCACTCATTTTTTATTTCACCGTTGTTGAAATCCCAGACAAACATCCTACTGATATGTTTACATATTCCTTTTGCAAATGAGGCTTTTCAGCTAATTCCAATGAACAAAGATGCATCATACTTCCACTGTCAAGCAAAGTTCTGGCTAAAAATATTTCCCCCTCATCTTTCTCAACAATTGCTTTTGTTAATAGGACTCTATTACACTTTTTATTTACATTAGCAGCTGTCATAAAACACTCATTATCTTTGCTTATGAATGGCTGGCCGTGAGCGTTGAGTTTCGTGGTTTCCGTAGACTGACTGGTGTCTGACTTTTGATCCGTCGGAGATGCGATTTCACAACTTTTTTATTTGGGGAAACTGAAACTTTTTGTCACTGATAACACAATAATGAATTGTGCTTTTTTTCTGCATAGCCGACAAGAGTAATTTGAAAGCCAATTTCTCACTCCATGATTTCCAAAACAGCAGAAACATAAATTGTGCTTTTCGACATACTCTATCTTTTAAGCTGAATTTTTGAAATTTACGACGTTGAAATAAGTTATGTTCTGCATTGCACAGTTTACAAATGCATACATGTTTCTCAGTCACACATGAAACCATTGAACAGGGTTCATACGGTCCTTAAGAGTCCTTAAAATTCTTGGTTCTTAAAAGTCTTTAATTTTGGCCAAAATCAGCAGAAGTTCCTTAATTTTAATCATCTGAAATTTCTGTCTGTTTTTATGACTGCCATTTTGCGTGTGAATTAGCATTTTGGAGTAATATTTAATGCGAATCACTAACATATATAGTTATTTTTTGAATGGTTCATGGGTTATAATTTGTTTCTATTTGTAATATAAATGATGGGATACTCGAGTTTCTAAGCAAGAAATGAAACATAAGCATTTTGAAATTCATTTTTTCTAATAAAGAGTTCTTAAACAAGATTTTGCTTTTGGGGATGGGAATTCTTTTATTAAACGGTTCTAAATTTGGCGATTTTAAGATCAGTTTCTATAGAACATTTTTAATTCCGAGATCTGAAAATTTTTCGACGATTTTTTTAAAACTGTATAACATTGATAAATTTCATTAAAATAATGATAACATATTGAAATTATATTTAAAAAATAACATTAAAATAAAACATTTATATTTTTTGAAATGAAATCAAAAATATTATCAAATTCATTTTGCAAATTGTTAGATTTAGTTTTTAACAATTCTAAGTCACTAACACTTAAATCTGGCTCAGAAAGTTTCTTTCGATAAGATAGTTTTCTGTGTTCTCTTTTTTAGTGAGAATATCTTTCAATTTCATAGCCACTTTCACTACACTTACCAATAATAACAAATTATCGCACAAACTTAATTCAAAATTTACTAAATGCAACAGTTAGTAATGAATGGAGTTTCAAGGGTTACTTACCCCTTTCTTTCAGCATCTGGTTGTAATCCAAAAACAAATTCTCGAAAAACAAAATGGCAAAATCCCTATTCTATAACTAGCTTGTTTACTTAGCCGATATCGCTGCGGCTATCCAGGACCACCCAGATGGTCTGGCAAATTATTAAATGGACTTAACTCTAAATTAAACTAATTAACAAACTAAACTATAATATCCTCATTATCTTTATTTTGCTCATTTGTGGAAGACACTCGGGCAACCACACGCACTCCGCTTCGCCATTGAAGCATTAAAAAAAATTCTTTTTTTAAACAGTAGCAATGGCAGCATCATCTCACTTCAAAGGGATTTAACATAGCAATAAGTAGCAAAATTGTGTTTTTGAATTTGGGAAGGGGAGCCAAGAAGTCAACAGCTCTTGAGAGTGCTGGATAATAAGTCAGAAATGTTATTTTATGTTTACATTGAATAATAGAGCATTTGTAAATTAAAGGCTTTCCCAAAAGTGAACTATATTCAAGAAATGTTTAAAAGCCATTTTTATTGCAGGATAATTGTTAAATTTCATTTCAGTTGGGCAATGGCTTCAGAGTCTTTCAACTTGTCACTGAATGCATTTTTAGGAAATAATAGGGTAGGCTGGCTTTAAATTTGAAAATACAAATGCAAATTTGTGCTACTGTAACAGGCTGTTATTAATATTACAGATTTTAGAATTAGTTCTTTTGTAAAATGTTGCTTAATTTATTTCAGAAATTGAAAATAATAATTATTTTGTTTTTAGGTGAATGGGAACCAACATCAACTGCTGCACTTAACAAGGATATTTGTCCTTTAGATTCTCAAGTAGCAGATTTTTTTAAAGTATGTAATTAAACATATGTGAAGAAAGTTATCATTGATATTTTATGATTATTATTGTTCTTTTTTGTATCTGAAATGTATCAAAGCTTACATATTAAGATATTTAGAAGGTGTTGCTGCTGCTTCTGATTGTATTTATGTCAAACTTGGCAGACTTCCATTTGGGGAAAGGGGAACCCTTTCAAGGGGGAAAGAGAACTTTGAAGAGCAGAATCCCCTTTGGGAGCTAAGATAAGTTACTTTCTTGCACCATGTCAAAAATAGTGCTGTAAAATCCACCATTATAAACTATCATTAATATAGTGAGCCTATTTGAGTGGTATCACTATCATCATCTAATGCTTAAGAGGGTGATGTGATGTGGGGATGCAGCCCAACCTTCTTGGCAGACTTTATGATGTTGTATGGTCTTTTTATGGGATGTGCCAGAGCAAGCCAGAAACAACAGGCCTCCCCCCAAAAAAATTTACAAAAACAATAAGTGGGAAATCGTAAAGTACAACATGAAGGTGAAGGTCTCTTTAGTTTTTTTGGGGGGTAGGGGCTTAAAATGGATACATGAAATTTAGTGTATCATTTTTAATTATGTACATTTTATGTCACTGAATTTAATTTATATCATTTTAAATTTTGGAATGCTGTTGCGTATTTTTGAACATGTTCATAGAATTTAGCATGTTTCCTTTTGAAAGATGTGATAAAACTAATCCAGATATTCAAATATTCTTTTATCTTATATTCAAATTGTTACTGTTGTATGCCCTACTAATGGTAAGGTGTGTGAAAAAGGTAGCACTTGCTTTCCTCTACTTTGGGCAGATTAAAAATTACATAATGTAGGTAAGTTGATCGCATTCATTTTACTCAAGATGATAAGGTGATATTTAAAATATTCCATGAAGTTGAAATTTGGAAATCAGTGTGTGAATCTGTACCAAAAAGTACCAAAGTGTCCTCATAACTTGTAAAGATGTAATGGAAAACTGTAACTGAATTTATGGATTAAAGAGCTGATAAGACGCAAAGAAATTATAGAAGCAAATATGATTACTAGAAAGTTGAAAGCTAAACAAATCTCAGGCACTTGTTTGTCTGCTCATTTTAGACAGTAATTTGAGTTAAAATGTGTGAAAGTAAGTAATGGAGTTGGTTCAATGAATGTGATGGTACTTCTTCTTCATATTGAGTTTGTCAGGTATCAGGCACCTGTGCTAAATAGCATTTTGTGCCAAATGCACCAAACCCAGTGCTTCCTAGCTCCATTTGTTTGGGTTGCATACTTTGTTTATAAAAGTCTGACAGCCCCTTAATAGAGCTCAGGTGTTAACTCTTTAGTATTGAGAATACCTAAAGTAGTCCATCATGTGAAGTTCAAGGCTAATATTCTGTTCCTCCAATAAACTTTTTTCAGGATGTCCCTCAATGAGTACAGCCATCTTGGCCACTGTAAGAGATTCCCCAGTGGTTAAGGTCTGTCTCTTTGGGCAGTCTGCTCCACACTTAGGGATTGCCTCTTCTTACCTTTCCCCATGGGTTTTTTCAACCCAAGTACTTTTGACAGTTTTTAGTCCTCGGGCATGTTTTGTTTTGGGGCTCCAAACATTCTCTTTTTGATTTTACCTGAAGGGGCAGTCATGCATTTAATAGCTCTTGCCCTTCTTCACTATCCTTATCTTCAGGGCAGATGTTTTTATTTGGCTTATAATTCCTTACTAAATGTAGTATTTCATCTCGATGTACTCCGTCTGTGATATGATTTAAATCAAATTCCTCCTCATTATAATTCACTTCCGATAGTGAAGAAAGTGACACAGAGGTTATTGAAAACGAAAAAAATTTCGATTGACAAATTAGTCGGTATTCTCGACACAGCAATTATAGGACTTGAACAGCAGAACTCTGTAACTGAACAAGAAATTATGTCTATTTATAGAATTAAAGAGAAAGTATTATCACATAAAACGAAGCAACTTAAACAACTTACATTGAAAGAAATGTTTAATAAAGTAATAAATATTAAGCTTTTTTTTTTTTGTAAATTTTGATACCCTTTAGATCATAATTGTTCTTTATTTCATAAATTATGGTTTCATGTTTTTAATTTTATAATTTCTGCATGCCATCTTACCAAATTTAAACTGATGATCTATAATCCGGAAAAATCGATAATCTGGAATCACCGAAGTCACGATGCGCAGAAAGTTTGTAGCTTTGAGGTCCGGATTATAGATCATTCCGGATTATGGGTGTCCGAATTAACGACTTTTGACTGTACCACCTGTTTTTCTCTTGCATACCTCTGGCTGAGAATCACTGCTGTAGAAGTTGCGAGGCATCACTGCAACTGTGTTCAAGTAAAAGTCATGTATGAAGCATAGAAAGGATAGTTGATGTTATGGATATCAGATTTACGTTTTACTACCTAAAGTCTGTCTTTTATATTTGATCTCTTTTACATGAATTGTATTAAACACAAGTCGGAAGTACTTTTGTAAAATATATAATATAATGGGTGAAAGAATGGAGATTGGAATTCTTTGAGTAATGCGGGTCACATAAGATCAGTCGGCCTAAATCTATCCCAGTTTTGATTTAGAGCACCCAGAGTGATGCATCAGGTACATTGACCACCAAAACAAAAGGCCTTTACAGCAGAATGAAACTTGCAATGTGCATGTATGATGTCACAACAGGGAGATGGAAATGTGAATTAAGATGATCGTGCTATGATTTTTCCTCATTCCTTTTGTTATTTTTTAGGAACTAATTTTGGAGGATAAAATCTGATAAATATGAAGCATTAATGCTTTGTTTTGCTTTTATTTTTTGTGGCTTCTATTTTTCTCGGTAGTGTTTTTTATTTTTTTATTCTGCAGTGGTTTCTTGTTATTCTGGAAGGAATATGAATATATGTATTGAATTTGAAATGTTTCATAAGTGTACACACACACATAGTAGAAGTGCACAGGGGAAAAGTTCACACAAAGGTGGCAGTGGCCTAAATGTTTTGAGAAAAACTGCTTTAGGCTAATGCAATGTATTTTTAATTTAACCTGTGCTTCTTGTCTAATTATTTAGTCTTATATGCTTTGATGTTGTTAAATACAATAAAAGCTATATCTAAATTAATGTTAAAAAATTGTCAGTGTTTAATGTACACATATTTTATCACTGATCTTTTAAAATACTGTAAAAGCTTTTTGTTCGCATACATTGTTTGCTATTAAATTAACATTTTGAAAAGATATTTCTGCTGGTTTTCATTTGTGCATCTTTAAAGTACGTTAAACAACTAATATATAATAAAAGCAAGGAGTGTGTGGTAACTATAGATTGTATAATAATAAAATAAGAAAGAAAATAAGGTATACTTTCATTTAATTTGAATCAGGAAAGTAGTTCAGCATACTATGAGGCTGAAATTTTGGTTGTGGTAGCTGAGGTTTGGTTGCTGTGAAATATTGAATCACTGGAAAGATGCGTTGGTAGGAGATGGAGAAGGACATACAGGAAGAAAGTCTGTGAATTATCGTGTATATTGAGGAAGACTTGAAATATGGCAGCATTCTTGAGTGCATAGCATAATGCAGTTTTCTTTCAATATAGTTAAGTGTATTCGCAGAACAAGCATTCAGATTTATCCATTTGAAATAAAGCACTGAAAGTAATGTTCATGAAAGCAAAGTCATCTTTGGATTTCTTTGAGTTAGCAAAAGCAGGTACTGATATCTTTCATAAAAGTGAAATGTAGCTTAATGATTTTGAATGGGAAAACCCGTTACAAATCGGACATGGTTTTTTTGAATTATGTAAGTAAATTGCCAAGTTAAAAGATTTAAGGGGAAGTAGCTTCTAGAAACACACAGTGTAGAACATAATATATAGAATGCCACTATTGTATGAAAAATGCATTTATATTGGGCTAGGTTTTTGGTTGCTTCAGTTTTATCTGCTCATTACATCAGAATTTTACTAATTCAGGTAATGTTTTGTAGAGGAATTGAAGTCGGAAGAATGTGAACTTAGAAACTTTTGTAACATTTTTTGAAAGCTGAAAGATAATTTTTTATTCAGATGTAGAGGCATGTCTTATACAGTACAAAATCCGAGATCTAGACGTTCAGTATCCGGAATGATCTAAAATCCGAACCTCAAAGCCATCAACCACCTCCTCTTTTTTTTTTTTTTTTTTTTTTTTTTTTTTTTTTTTTTTTTTGTATGCTGTGTGCATGCACATTTGATTTCCTCCCCCATAATAAAACATGTGGAGAGTTCCGATTCTTAATTTCACTTCGGCACTAAATAAAATACCTCATTATTCAAGTAACAACCATTTCAGCATAAATTTGTGTGATCATTAATTTGGCTCTGTAGCTGCATAGCTGCTTAGCATACATCTCGAATAAAAACATTCTATGTAGAAACGTTGATCTCGTATTACTAATATTTTATATCCCTGATGCCAACCTGGTGAATCATTATTATATTTTGCTATCATCTCTGCATATTTATCAACACATGATAACTTGAGTAATGACTCATGCAGCAATACCTATTTTTTTTATATATTAATAATTCAATAGCAAAAAGTATGGTAATAACCTTTTATGTTGACATTACACTTGGCGATGATTACAGATTTAACTCTCTGGGCAGCCAGGGTTTTCGTTAAAAAAGCACAAATTTCCCAAAACTACTGAGAGAACAAATTACTTATTTTTTTTTATTTTAATGTAAAAACTCTACTGATATTTCATACCTGGATTTGTTTTCTTTTGATATATTGCCTTAATTTCATTGACATATTTTAATATGCATGTATATATATATGTTCTTACATCATAATAAATATTCTAAGTGGCAAGGCCGTATATATACAGCCTTGCCACTTAGAGAGTTAAGTTAAATATGTTAAGAAATGTTGACGATAAAAAAATTTAACAAAAATTTCTTTTCATATGCTGTAAACAGATTTTGTTAATGATATTCATAGGCCAAAA